CTACTGCTTTATCATCACAGTTGCTAGTTTGGCAGTCTTTGTACACTGATCAATCACTGATCCATTAGCATTGCCTGCTTCTTCACATTTATCAGTTTTGGCAGTCTTTTACATGTTTCACACCGACATACACATCTGTCATTGATACATTAGCACTGCTGTCTTTTCCATGCATACTAGTTTTGTCAATCGATCTTTTTGCCCTTTTTTCGCAGCTCTTTTCTAATCTCTTTCCCTTCAGATTTCCTTCACAGTCAAAGATGAGGATGAGTTTCGTCTCTACTCACCACAATACCTCTTTCCTCATTTCTACTATTCCTGCTTAATTTCAGTTTTAAGACTGCTTTAATCACTATGCCTTCTTGATTGGCCTTGTTAATAAAGCGATTATTAAGAAGCTAGAAGCATGGCTGCACTGGCGGTGAAGCATGGCATCGATACGAAGTATCAGCTGTCGAGGGATACTCAAGTTCTGTTCGTTGGCAAAAAGAAACATTTGAAGAATGTTCAATTCGAAGGCGATATTGTAACAAAACTGTCCGGCATTGTTGACGCCAAAACATGGAACTTAGTGTCCCAAGCGATTTCTGCGAATGGATCCGGCGCAATTCCGCTTCACCTAAATTTAGCTACCGTTTGTTTTTACTGCTACATTTGCATCATGAGAGTCATTGAACTGAAAAGCTACATTAGTAACGGAGCTTGTTCGAATTTGCATACTGATTTTTTCCTCCATCAGCTAAGCAACCCTTGAAAAAGAGGTGAGTCAACAGCTCCGCCCTTCAGTTGATGACTGCTGTTGGCATTTGCTGCTGCTCAGGCTATTTCCTAGTCCCTTGGCCTTTCACAGATGGTGGACATACAAGGAAAATAGAAAGAAGGCGGAAATTCAGTTTGACAAAAAAGCATCTGTAAAAAAATATTATGAATTTGCTGAAATGAGATGGTGGGCTCGAATTCCTTCAGAATCAGACTTGTGAAACTACAGACCCACGCATCGACAATCTTGATGACTTTGATAGTCTTGATGTTTTAAGGTAATTTCTGTAGCGGACGATACCAGTCGACACAATGCTCCTTCAAATTCGTCAGCGATTTTTAAAGAGTTGAAGTCAATCAGTCAGCCAGATGGAGTTAAGGTCAGTTCTCAGAACGCACATAAAATCTTGACAACTTACAAAATTCAAGCAAAAATGTCTTTTATAATTTTCACGGGCTTTTACAAAATCAACCCTACATTAGTTTTTTAATACTGTTCAAGCTTTTCAGCGCGCGGATCGCTTGAAGCTTGATAAAACTTTCATTTTTGATAAGTAAAAATGCGATCATGCATGAAAGTGGACTTTGATGGATTAGGACAAGTTGCTTGCCTTGGTGACAACCGCTGGACGTTGCACATTGGTTTGTAGTACCTGGAAAAGTAAGGGACTATTCCGAATGATCTTCAAAGAAGTAGGCAAATACGAGGAGGAGGAAGGGATGGGGTAGGTGCCAGCTGGAGCAGTGCAGCTCAGCAGCTTCAAGGGTCCTGAAATAACTGCAACTTGCGTCTGAAAGCATTACGATAATATCACTAAAATGGGATTCTAAAATGTCTGAAAGCATTACGATTGTTTAGGTAGCCTTGTTATTTTTGGTATAAGTGTGTTTTCTAATTTTTTAAATCTGTTCATTTGAGAAAAAACAGTGAGTTTTATAAGACTGCATTTTGTTTTTTTTTTCGATGTACTGAGTTTTAAGGCTACAATTAAAATTTTAAAACTTTCGAACTGCTTAAGGTTGTTTAATTAATTTTTTTTGGGATGCGTTATTTGAGTTGATTTTGGATCTCGAATTCAATGCATTAAAAAGGGAATGATGGTTTCAGTAAGATCATCAAATGGATTAGAGAAATGAGAGGTGTGAGTACCGGTAATGACAAGTTAAGGAATGGTTATGGTATGCTATAAGGACAGTACAAAATGCGCCCCGTTTTTTGGAGCACTTTACATCTTTCTATTTGAAAATATGTAATATTTTGACTTTTCAAATCTCGATTTTCAGAATATTTCGATTATTTTATATGCAAGTTTGTCAGATGTGTTCCCGAGTGTGGCAGCTATGGCGCGTTGTTTTCCTCTTTACAATCGATCAACAAAGAGCAGTGGTAAACTGGAGAATGTGCAAATTGAAGTGGTTGTTGCTGAAGGAGAGGTGCAGTTGTTTTGTACCGTTAAAAAAAACTAGTCTCATGATTGCTCCTTACTGTTTCTGCTAGCTACTGTGGTATTACATGGTGGTTTAGAGATTTCGTGAACTAGACAAGATTGAAAGCTGAAACGTTGCACTGGATGTTCTCTATGCATGTATGAGCTAAAGATTTTAAATTAATAATGCAAGAGTTCAGGGGACGAGGCAGTTGTTAGAATTGTAAGCAGGTTGACTACCAGACGATGGAGTATTGGTTAGATGTATGATTAGCTATTGTTCCAAGTTTTCAGTAAAGAATTTAACAGTAATCAGATGATTTGCAGTGTTTGCCCTTTCTAATAAACTATTGATAAGTGTGAACGCCATGCAAGTAGTTAGCAAGACTAAGTGTTATCCAGACGGCTGATGGTATATTTTGCTCAGATTTTCGAATCCATTAGGAAGCGAAATTTATGTTGTTTAGCAGTTGACCGACCGTGATTTGCTGTTCCTACAAACGCTGGCAGAATCGATCCGAAATACCGCGCGTCTTATCGATATGCCATACAATGAACTCAACACCGAGCAGTTCACTGCTGAAGCCATTAAACTAACTGCAGATCTGCCAAACATGGAGAATATAATTATCAAAGTAAGCACACCTGTTATTTTGCATTTTAACTCAAAAATCTTTGCATGCATCGTATTTTTTTTTTTTTTTGTTTTACGAACTGTCTCAATAAGAATGGAGTGTCTTTGCTGAAAACCCGTGCTAGTGCGGTTACTAGGTTGCTCCCATACTTAGGACGAGATTGTGCCGTATTCTTAGCAATGAGCTTTCTTTTTCGAGTTAATACCCAACGCCTGTTCGACGGATATGCGTCTTGCTTACAGAAGCTTTCGAAGGGGTTGCTTTTGTCACGCAAATACAACTCACTGAAAGTGACGCCCTTTGATTATCTGCAATGCGAATAGCATTTCTTGCCGACGCAATTTTAATTGGATATGTTGTGAATGGAACAAAGTGCTCGCGTCAAGAAAATGAAGCTGCGCGGGCTAAACTCCTTCGCCTTGCCCAGTTGCCCTTCGGTTCCATGCGTCCCGTCTCTTGACTCGAGTTCCTCCTCCATGATATTCAATGTGGTGCCTAGAAATGCAGTGGGGATTGTTTTTGTGTCATAAAAATTGTGCGGCGGCAGTGACTTTTCCGTTCCCGCCCCATTTGTATTGTACGTTGCCAGCTTGGGGCTGCTGCCGAACTCCTCGCGGTTTGATTTTCCTTTTGTGCGTGCTTTATTTTGTGCTTGTACTAATAAAGTTTTGTTTTCTGATTGGGGCGCGAGCCGCTCAGGCCTCTGGCCGTCCTCCTCCTTGTTACAGATGCACTGATTCTGCTCACCTGACGGAGAGTCTGTTTGTTTGTATGGTCGTGAAGAAACATTTCTCCTCCCTCTCCTTTTCCATGTAGCCAGCATTCGCTGCTCTGCATTTTAGGCATATTTTTAACAAAAGATTTCACTCGCACTTTCCTACGTTTTTTTTTTGGTACAGGGTTTCGAAATGAAAAATTTTTTCTACTACTTTTTGTGTATAATTTTGTTGGCTGATAGATGTGTTTTACTTCTTTGTTTGTTCTTTATTACGTTGGTTTTAGGGCAAAGATTTGTTAACGCAAGGTTTTGGCGGAATTTATCATGTCGGCAAAGCATCTACTGCACCACCAGTTTTCGCTTGCTTCAGTTATAAACCACCGGGTGCGACACAAACGTATGCCATGGTTGGGAAGGGTATTGTATATGATACGGGTGGTATGCAAATCAAAACAAAAACTGGAATGCCCGGTTTGTTACGTTCGCTCCAAATTTATTATTCTAAGTTTTTTGGGTCCAAATCTCCCCTTAGTTCTAAGAACAGCACGTGAGGCTGTTGGTTTTCGAGCTTTATGCTTATGTGCTAGGAGATTTTCACATTAATTTATCAATTTGTTTCAAGAAAAAAGACTGTTTATTGGCATTTATATAGCATTGACCATCTATAAAACAGCAAAATTATTCATCAAACAGGACATATATGACATGTGTCTGGTCGAAAAAGAAAACAACGCAGGATTAATGTGTTGATTTTTGAAATTTCCAAGACCTTGTTAATTAGTTACGAAAGGCAGTAGGATAATTGTTTTTTTAGGTTTCTGGAATTTCGTATATGTTTTAGGTATGAAAAATGATATGGGTGGTGCAGCTGCTTTACTGTCCTCGTTCTGTGTGCTTGTGAAAATGGGTTTTAAACAGAATTTATCTTGCCTACTGTGTATTGCCGATAATGTTATTTCACCGATTGCAAAGTAATACTTTTTTTGAATAATTCGTAAATGATGG